TATATATATGTATCATGAATCTAATAACTATTTATAAATGACAGGTAAATATATAATCATGTACATTTTAACAAATATATTACATATGTCCTTAAAATTAGGGGAAACATTGTATCAAGCTAATGTCAACATGAAGTGAGGCAACTGTTTTATACCAGCAAATTCAGGAACTTTTCACATAAATTCACCAAAATTAATGAAATTAAAGCATTTTTGATAAGTGCTGAGTAAAATCAGAGAAAAAACCACTTCTGTTGTCCGCTTGGGTGAGTTTGCCAACTTTATCATTGCCCATGTTACTAATCTCACCATCAACCTGAATTTCAGATGATTAATACTCACCAAACAAGTAAACAAATAAAAACCTGTGTATTAGTCCTCCAAGTTCATTTGTTTTTCTTAAAGTGGTATAACAGAATGTTTAAACATAAAATAAAATAGAAGGTTTTGAAGGTGCACTTTGCAAAAGAAAGGCATCCTAAATATATATGCAAAGTAGCTCATGATATTCACTGATGTGTTTAAAAATATCACTCTCAGCCATTTTCAACTGTAGCTTCTGTAATTCTCTGATTTAAAAGTCATGTTAAAAACACATGAAATGGTATGGAAATGCCTGTTCAGATTATGTGAGGAAAAAGGAAACAATGTGAAATTTCATTCAAATAGTGCATGGATAAATGTAACAACCAGAGCTCCAAGTTCTTACTGTTTGTGATGTACATTTAAGTGCACAGAACATTTGCCTTTATGGCAGTTTTATTCCCAGCACAGTAAATGGCAAAAGGGTTTCTGTTCAATTGACTTTCTCATAAGAGGTTTAATTCCCTCTTTGTTTTGGCATAGTTTGTATCTGAGTTTTCGTACTCCAGCTAACCTCTACATTCTGAGTAAGTAAATCCCACTTTGCGTGACAGACTGACCCAGTGTCAGGAAATGGTACTTGTAGTGCTAGTGTGTATACATACAGTTTAGACAACCCTTAAAAAAAATGACTTTCAGGCAAGAGTCTCTTAGCACAAAAATAAATGGCTTTGAATTGTGTAAAAGTATAACATTTAAGTTATGCTGCACATTACTACAAAGTAACTGATGCCAATAACAAATGCTAAACCTTATTTCCAACCAGAGCCACTGTTTCATGATGGAATAAATGGAGATAGAACTAATTTAGAAAATAAATGTGTTCATGAAATATTGTACCTCTAGGTCCACAAGTCACATATCACTAAAATACATTTTGGTAAAATAATTTATACATTTCATTTTTAGTAAATACTATGATTGCTACAGAGACATTTCAGTATTTAACAGTAAGTAATAAATGCGACAGAAGTAAGACTATATAAAATATTTCACAAGGTACAGATATTTTAATGTACATTCTAAGCACAACTTTGATCAATCAATCAATACCTATGATTACACAAATTAAATCTACTTTAATAATTTAAATACAACTACCAAACATGTACCTGGTAAACTCACTTTACAAAACAAATAGGAATAACTTAAAATCAAACAAGTAGTGAATAGTATAACTGATGCCTTCTTTAAATAGTGACTATTTTCTGATATTTTTCAATATTTATGATTTAATATTTTGTGATAATTGTTGATTCACATAAATTTGTAGAAAATAATATGTAGATCACATGTGCCCTGTATGCAGTTTCTTCCAAGGGCAGTATTGTTCTAATTATGGTACTACATATAACTAGGATTCTGACTCTCATCCAGTTCCCACACATGATTCAGACTCACTTATTCACACGTTTGTGTATGTATTTTGCTCTATTCAAATTTATGACACATGGCAGTCCCCTTATTCACCTCAGTAGTCAAAATGATACAAGTAGTAAAGATCTAATATAACTTAAGAAGTGGATTTTTAAAGTAAGGACAATATCTTAAAGCAATGGCCAAAAACATCTTAGTCTCTGTGTCATAACAACTATTTTATGTCCTGAATTCAAGTCCCTACCTGTAGCAGGCTACTGAAAGGTGGGTGTGGCTCTGCTCTGTAAAACTTTGGGGAAAATAAAGGAGTCAGAGGAAGGGAATAGAGTTTGGATTTCATCCAAACACATTACATCAATGTATGCAATTCTTAAACAATAAAAATGTTGATTTAAAAATTAACCTGGATTAGTTTGATAGATCTTTGCTAATTTCTCATCTGAGATTTTTCACAGTTGTCAATTTTCAGTCTTAAAATACAAAATGTGCTGTATGTTTGATTTGTTTTGACTTGGTTTGACTTTGTATTTGAATCATCTAACTAATTACAAGATTTTTTCAGTTGTGAACTTAATATTTTTAATTGTTTCCAATATGACATTGTAAGAAACAAGGTAAAAGATTACAATTCTGGAAAAAAATAGTTCATAATCACAGCATCTATTACAAAACACTGCAATAAAAGCCAGCTTCTGAGAGTGGAATCTATTTCACATTTCAAAGTGGCCACGTGTACACTCCTAACAGGACAAGTACTTTGTTTTGTTTTTTATTTACCCTTTCTCTGCTCAAATAAAGGCATTTTAGAAACTAACTTCCTTAGGCATAATGCTAAAACAAACAAACATAAAATCCTCAACTTCTGGGAGCTGGAAATATATTAATGTTAACTCTAAATAAAATAAATGGTATTTCAATACTCTGTGATGAAAATGTATTTTGAAGCATACATAAATTTAATTAACATTCAGGATGAGTCTAAAGGACAGAAGTTTTTCAGCCAATCATTGAATGGTAAATTCTAAAGAGACTCAGACTATTGTTCATACATTTCTTGTTGATTTAAATATTTGATGACATTGTAAATGAGTGCTCAGTAATCAGGCAGAACACTAAATACACTGGTTATCATCTAAAATGATATTTAATCATGTTTCCATATGTTCAATTGTACATGTCAGATGAACAGAATCTCACTTTAAAATAGGATTATATAGATAAGTGTGCACACTACTCTTCCAGATGTCCTGGTTTTGTACCCCGGTACCCAAACTAGGTAACTAACAATCACACAGTTCCAATGGATCTGAAAGTCTTGGCTTTTGTGGACACTGTAGGCATGCACATGTGCATATGTCAACATGCACACACAAAAAAAGTTATTGAAAAAGAATAAGACTATAACTTAATGTACTTATTTAGTTACATATTAAATACGATTTCCTTAAGTTTATGATGCCAGTGTGGTAGTATAATATTTTATTCTACCATCTTAGGTTAAAATGACTGAAAAAATATTCTTCCCTTTAAAAGTCTAACATAAACAATTAAATATTGATGACATTGCTTGAACTGAAAAGACAAAGAGATGAATTTGAATCCATAACATCTTCCATTTAGTAAAGGAGGGGAATCTACTGTGGCAAAACTCTTTGGAAAATGTCCACAGGATGCAGTGTATAGCTACAGTGCTCTTACTCTTTCACATCATATGTTGCTTCTAGAAGCCACAATGACCACAGCATACCAGATCTTATGCTATCTTAAAAGTGTCCTGTTCGATTATATGAGCAAGAGATATTGAGACCATGTTTGGAAAAAGCACAGGGACAAATAACCAAACTAGTGGAAACACATGAACTATGAACCAGTAGCCGAGGAGCCCCCATGGAACTGGATCAGGCCCTCTGGATAAGTGAGAAAGTCGATTAGCTTGAACTATTTAGGAGGCCCCCAGGCAGTAGGACCGGGATCTGTCCTTGGTGCATGAGCTGGCTTTTTGGAACCTAGGGCCTATGCTGAGATACTTTGCTCAGCCTAGGTGAAGGGAGGAGGGGACTGGACCTGCCTCAACTGAATCTACCAGACTGAGCTGAATTCCCAGGGGAGTCCTTGCCTTGGAGGAGGTAGGAATGGGGGGGTGGATTTGGGGGAGGCCAAAGGGGAGTGGGGGGGAGGAGGGAGGAAAGGGGAATCCGTGGCTGATATGTAAAATTAAATTAATTATAAAATTTTTTTAAAAAGTGTCCTGTTAGCATTTTTGCCTCCTTGAAATACACTTTATTGAAAAATTATATTGAACATTAACAACTATAAATCATTTGTTAATAAATTGGCAAATGAAGGGTTGCAATATATTTTAACCCAAATTCAAGAAAGAAATGTCCTGTCATTTATATAGTGTGAGCACATTTAAGGAGTATTCTGATTAACTGAGATGCAGGCATTCACCAAACTTCAAGAATCAACTTCATCATTGATCTGTTAGAATGATGGATGTTTCATACTTGACTCTAGAATTTAAATGAGTCATAACATAAAAAAAAAACACTTCCTCCAACTTAAATAATCAAGTAATAAACCGAGATATAAATAAATATATGATGCTAAAGTCTTTTGGTGATTTATCTATAGAACATGATAAAATGGCATATCTCATTACTAATTCAGAAGTGCTATTCACTAGACCATCATTTCAATTGTATGAATGCAAACAATAATACTTTAAAATGTTAAACCATCATTGTCTCAGATTTGCTAATTGAGTTTCTTATGACATTATTGTTATTGAAGTGAGTAATTAGAGGTCCCATATAATTTGAGTTACATGCTGCAAACTGAAACTGTTCTGCTGATCAAGAAGAAATGAGAAACTGCCACAGCATGGCTTGGCATTCCCTGTGCCTTCAATCGCATTTTAGGTGTTTTGCACTGGGGAGATTTTATCTACAGACTAAACTGGCTACCCTCTGTCCCTATAATAACTCCATGATTGGGAAGCCATATGGTGCAATGCTGAATGCTATATTAAATTGTGAGTCAGATTTTGGCCAGCTTTATTCTCATAAATGAATATCAGAATTCTATCCATGCAAATTTCCGTACTCTGATGCTTCTTGGTTTTGTTAAGCTTATTTTGTCATTTTCCTTTTTTAGACACTTACAGAGATAAAATCATACTATACTTAAATCTTAACAGCACTAATAAAGAATAGGAAAGATAGAGGACTATGACGCTGTAGGCCTCACCCTGCTCTTACCTTTAAAGAAGCAGTCTTCATTGTGAACAATGGTGATCTTTTGCTTTTTCAGGCAGGCAGCTCTGTGAACTTCACAATGGTTTTCATAGAATTCCCCATCAGATCCACACACAGGTTTGTAGTGCTGTTTGCAAATGTCCATGCAGGCACACTCTGCATGCCTTGTCTCTCTGCTGATGACACAGTGCCTCCCCAAGCCACAGTACTTATTTTCACAAGATCCAAAAGGGCCATCCTGAATTAGAAATTCTGGAAATTAAAAAAAAAGGAAATCATTTGGTTCTCTTGTTGATATAACCAGTTCATTTCAAAATATCAGGTGAACAGTGTGTTCAAAAACTATTACAGAAATTGAAATACATAATGAAGGAACTTGCAATAAAACCAAATAGGAACCATTTCAAAGGCTGTCAGATTCTTCTCTGGTTACTCACCTCTAGTTCTACTTTCCCTTTTCAGAGTACATTGAAATTAGAGGACTTTTTATTATTATTAAGAATAATATTAGACATTTTGAAGGTGTTATGCAATGCATATTGACCATTCCCACCATTGCCTCCTTATGTCTTCTTACTACCCAGCCCCCTTACAAATCTCTTTCTCATGTTCATGTCTGACATTTTTTTGTGACCCACTGAGGTTATCCAGGTCCATCTATGTAACTATAAGTTTGGAGTTATTCTTTGGAGTTCAATTGAATCTACATGATGACACCATAATAATTACAAGAACAAATTTGTAAGCAGAGTTCAAAGTGTGCCTTGAGTAACACTAAAAAATTTTACATGCATGAAGCTTTATTTCTTAGCTATTATTATTGACCCTTCAAAATGAACTTTCATACAACTGAGAAAAGTTAAAATACTAGTTTGATATTATAAATTAAGCTCATAAATTACTTTAATTTTATCTTCATACTTTGATTCCAAGTCAAATTTAGATCAGCTAAATTAAAATTATACAAAACCATACCAATATCAATGGCATAGTACAAGCAATAACCTAACTCAGGACATACATAGACCAAACTAAAATTTCGGGGTACACAGCTTTAACAAAAAGCTGAGTTGCTGACAAGTGGAAATAGCCAGAGTTCCATCAACCACAGTTCCAATTCATCACTTCATATCCAAACTAAGTAACAACTCATCATGCCATGCCCAAATACCATGGTTGCTATTGGTTGCCAGTAAGTTAATTTCTCTAATCTGTTTTCCATTGTGTCTAAAAAAAACTTTCTATCACATTTCAGAATGATGCTCAGCCCTTTTTGGTTTTGAGTGACACAGAGCTGAAAAATCGTGTAGTAGTGTGGTCTTTCTTTCACTGGGCATAGCATGATCATTCCAGCACCATCTTGGGCTACTTTGCTCAGTAGTCATGGCAACTAACTGAGCAGAATATTACAGAGAAATGATAGCTTAGCTATTGGCAGTAGGAAAGAGGTTGGCATGACTCCAGCCACTACTCCACCCTCCTCTTCCATATGCAAGGGATTTTGGGAGATGCTAGATGGTATGCTATGTAAAAAGTACAGGTCAGAATGTTAAGACTGGGAAAGGAATTGATATGAAATTACCCTGCAGAATAATCACTATTAGGATAGTGACCCTCATTATGATGTGAGAGAAGCTATCATGATTAGACCTTGAAGGGAGAGGGCATTAGGAGTACAAAGGTATGGTATAATAGCATACAAGAGTCAGACTGATAAGAGAGGGGGAAAGAGACAGACAGGAAGACAGACAGACAGACAGACAGAACAGAGAGAGAGAGAGAGAGAGAGAGAGAGAGAGAGAGAGAGAGAGAGAGAGCGAGCCTCTAACCTGGAGAGGGGCTGCATTGGGATAGCCACCATATATCATGACAGAGGTTTGGAAAGAACATGTTCTTCAGTTCCCAGAAACTAATAAAATTCTTTACTTTTATTGGTTTCATGGAGTGTCAGAGGTGTATGCTAGATGATTAAGTCTGGTCTAGTCTACACATTAAGGGACAAGGATGATAAACTTGCATGGAGTAGAGGGCTGGGCTTGCTTTTCCCAGTGAATCCTAACCTTCACGGCAGAGGTCTCTCTGCTGTTTGACAGACTATCAGGAATTTTTCTGTCATTGTTATGTTTTAGATAATTTTATATCTTTATTTTTACAGCTAAATACTAAAATTTATCAAGAAAAATACTTATTTACCGAGAGATGGTTTATTAAAAGAGTGATAATTTCACCAGTTAGTAAAGCTGAGGCAGCTCATGGAAATATTGCAGTTTCCCTTGGCTGAGTTGCGGTACCAGGTGGTGGCACTATCTGGTATGCCAATGTTGGTGTGATACCAGGTGGTGGCATTATCTGGCACACCAATGTTGGTGTGATACCAGGTGGCACTATATGGTACATGAGGTTGGTGTAATAACATGTGGCTGTCTGGTACACTAATGTTGGTATGGTAACAGATTGCTCTTTCTGGTACACTGAGGTTGATGTGTGTCTCCAAGAGTCTCTATTCCTAAATTCTTGCTTTTATATCCTGTTCTGAATCAGAGATTTCAATTAAAATGCTGGCCATTTTGTTTACATAAATAGAGTATTTTACATTCTAGCTAGAAGTTTTTGTTACTCATTGTTACTACATTTAAAAGAAATGCAATTGATTTATATGAATTCCTTGAGAAAGTTTATTTATGTAAATGAAAAGGACATATCCTTTGTGACAGTAATTAACCACAACTAATGTTAAATTTAAGTTTCAGCTAATGTTAAATCAATTAAATCTGATCAGCATGTCAAAGATTTTCTTAAAGTACAGTCAGATAACACATTTAATTAATTTTAATTAAGGATTGACTTGTAGCTTGGTAAAGTAGCATTTGTTTCTCCAACAGTGGACTCTATATTTGCATCATTTGATAATTTCTGTGCCCTCCTAGCATTACTAAATGTTCAAATTATAAACACTGAAACATTAAAAGCTAAATATCACACCAAAAAGCAGAATTGCACAATATTATATTAAAGACATTTGTTGTAGCTTCCCAATCATAATTTGCTTCTCTTTAATAGATTTATAGATCTATATATATGTACATATATATGTATATATATATATATAAATACATGAAAGACGATATCAGATACATAGCTAACATTGAGTGAAACCTTTGAAAGTGAATTTCTTTTTATTTGTAAGTTGTGATATTGCTTGCCTGGGGTGCAAAAAAATTGATAATTTCTTCAAATGTTTTACAAATGGAATAAGATAGTACTTTAGAGGCAAAGATTTAGAGACCTGGTAAGGGGCACAAAAAAGATTAAGGGACACAGCACCAAGGTGGATGTCATAATGCACCCAACACAGCTGAGGCATACAGAATATTATTTTAAGATATGTTAATTTTGTTTATGTTGCATTTGTTTAACTCTGTGAAGTTAAACTCTGCCTGTCTAAAACACCTGATTGTCTAATAAAGAATTGAATGGCTAATAGTGAGGCAGGAATGAGAAAGAGGCATGGCTGTCTGGCAGAGAGGATAAATAGAAGGAGAAATTTGGGAGAAGAAGAAGCCAGAAAAGGAGGCGGACTCCTGGTCAGCCACCTAGCTACACAGCAAGCCACAGAGTAAGAATAAGATTTACAGGGGTAAGAAAATGGGATAAGCCCAGAGGCAAAAGACAGATGGAGTTAATTTAAGTAAAGAAAAGCTAGCAAGAAACAAGCCTAGCTAAGGCTGGTCATTTATAATAAGAATAACCCTCCCTCCGAGTGTGATTTATTTGGGAATGACTAGTGGGCCCCCAAAGGAGTAAAAGAAAACAAACAACAACAACAGAGGTATTTAAACAATGATTATTCAGAAAGCTGATGATGATAGGATATGGGGAAAAGACTGAATCAAGATTGAAAATGATAATGGGGAAGGGGAAGCAACAGATTAGGTGAGCTGAGTTAATCATTATATGGAATATAAACATACTGTTTAATTAGTGTCATTGTTTCACATGTTGTCTTCTAGCATGTGTGATGCTGAAGTGTAAAATGTATTTAATAGCAACTCTAATTTATTAACAATTTAGTCAAAGAAGAGGGTTCACTTTCTTTGGTTTTTAAACTGTAGTTTTGTCTGACCTGATAATCTATTAATAAAACAAGGGGTAACTAGCAAGTTGCTTTTAGTCTCTCAATAACGCAATTCCTTTGTTTAAACTTGTCTGCTAAAGCATGATTCTAATTGAAGTTATGTATGTAAAATACACTTAGATGTCTCTAGAATGACTAAGATGTATTTTTCACCTGCATTGAAGTATCACATATTGACAATGCTCAACTTAAAAATATTTACATAATCTAAAATATCCTCAACTATACCAAATATAAACTAATTTTGACTTATATATGATAAGTTGATCTATTAATCTAAGGCTTTGTTATTTGATTTGTTTCATATGGGTAAGTGCAACTTTGACTTTTAAAATTTTATTACCAGTCTTCACTGAGAATGGTATTAGCAAATTAATTAAATGCTCAAGCCTCATTTTTTATCAAATAACATTATTAGAATTCATTATGTATTACTTAAATAAATAAGAGAGAAATAGCAACAAAGTTAATAATGTTATCAAGCAGTTGCTGAGAAGATTCAGTACACATGGCAATGGAAGTGTCTGGTATGGAAAATTTGATTAAGGAATGCAGTGATTATGATTAAGAATGATAAGTTATTATGGATCTAGCAACAGGATATACAAATAAAATTGTTATAATAATAGTCTTTCCCAACAAACTGTGTTAAAAAGTCTGTTGAGGCTGGGCAGGTATCATATGCCTGTATTCTGGGAATTATATAAATGGATGTAGACAGACATCAAGTTCTAGGCCAACATGGTCTATATAACAAACCCCATTACAAAATAAAGACACAGGCAAGGTACATCAAGGAAGTGTTTGAGCTAGTGTGCTTCAAAATAACACCCCTAAAATTGCCAAGAAATTCTAACACGATATTTTTCTCAGATGCCAAAAAGTTAAAAATAATGAAAACCTTTAAAAATTGAAATGAAAAAGAGAAACAAGAAATACAGAAAATGGGAGAGGATACAAAAGTTTCATTTCCATAATTATATATTTTGATTTAGAGTTGCAAGCATCCATTTTCATGATAATTTGCCACCCACGTATAGAAAGTTGGGAAACCTAAATAAAATTTTGTTTTGTATATTGTAAGGTAACAAAATGGTTTCATTTCTCATAAGTTTCA